AAGCTAATTCGTAATAAAAAAAAAAAAAATTTACTATAGGCATTTTTAAACCAAAAGAAGTAACTAAAAAAGGAACACCCTCCCCTGAGTTTTTAAGCGAATTTGATTGACATCGACAAAAAAAAATTAAAATACTTTTAAAAATTAAAAAAAAAAAATCAAGTATATGTTTTAGATATTTCTTTTGTAGAAAAATATAGTAAATTTAATTTAAAGTTTAATTAGATCTTTTAAAAAACATAACGAAAAACACATTTTTCCCCAGCGAGGTATTTTTTTTTTTTTTTAACAATCAAGGATTCCCACCAAAAATTCAATAAAATATGTAAGGTTACATACAGCACAATCTTAGCTGTTTCTATAGAAACTAAAATTCTGAACAGATTGTACGACGGTCATGGCCCATAACTCAATATTTTGTTTAAGATTTTTAATTTGAGCTTCCATGGAATTTTAAAAAAATGTTACAGTTGCAGATTTTCTTTGGAAAATGGCATTAAACTACATTTTTGGATTCTTTGAATGCATCCTTATTTTGTATTAATTTCATCGGCAACTACCAAGATTGGAAAATTTTAAAATTGTAAAAAAAAAAAAAAAAAAATGCTAGTTTTCACAAATATTTTTTTTCTATTAAAACAGAAAATATAAAATTAATTTTATTGAATTTCAGAAAAAAAAAAAAAAACGTAATTTTTGAGTTTTCTCATGAGATTTCACGTCTCTTCTTTATAACTTCATAGATTTAGCTTAAAAAGAAAAATGTAAAAATTAGGAATAGCCCAAATTTACTAACATGAATTAGTGACAAGTAATGCTGAGTATAACTGGCATGAAAAATTATTTCCACAAAACTTAGATTTGATATAAAGTTTATTCATTAACTTGGAGGCTTTAGTCATTTTTCTATGGGATTAATGTTCACTGTTTATGAAATGTTGAAGGGGTTGTGGATGTTCAATATATTTGTTCAAAGAATGTAAAGACAAGAAATTAATTGGTCGGGTGTGGGGACAAACTTATAGTTAAGAAAAGTTTTACAAATAGATGCCAACTTGTTGAAGGCCAAGTAAAATGCAAATTTCAAACACTGCTGCAATATATAAGACAATATTCCTAAACAAATATTTTTGATATGAAAATCAAAACAATTCTCAAATGAAAAAACAGTAATGAAGGACAGTTAATTAATGAAATATACTTTTTTTTAAATCATCATGCAAATTAGTTAAACCTGAAAAGTGATATTGCCTACTAATAGATAACTCGGATATTGAGCTCCTAGTGTGTAAATTACTATAAAGTAGAGTTGGGGCTTTTTAACCCCAGAATTTGTGGAAGAATTGAGCTCCAGTTTTGCATTTATTCATACAGATGAAAAAATGCTGAAAATTTCTATGAAACTATAATTCTCTGATTTTTGTTAAAGTTTTAAAATCAAGAAGTAGCATGTTGAAAGTGCTCACGATTTGGGGAATAATTTTTTATTTGATACAATAGTTGTCAGTGAAAACGTAAACCCTAAAATAATTGGTTTCGCCATTTCCATAGTATTACAAATAATATTATAAATGTAAATGCTTATAAATCTCCGTAAATTTCAAGATTAGTTATTCCAAAATTTGCTTGGGGATGAAACAGAGCTGGATACTTTAATTCAATTTAATCTTTATGAGTTTTTAGCTTCTGTTTTTGAAACATGAGAACTCTTATGTAGCGATGGAATCATATTTTTAAAAAATAATTATAATTTAGGCTCTGCTTGTGTATTGAGCACTGTTTTTTTTAAAATAAATACTAAAGAACTTTGGATTATTAACCTAATGGTTCTTTCCTATTTTCCTATATATTTGCATGTGTGTGTATGTATATATAAAAGCAGTGGTGAGATTCAAAAATTTTAAGAACAGGTTCTCTCTCAGCAACAGGCCTTGATAGCAATGGGTTCCCTTGTTTTACTTTTTCCATAGTCTATATTTTAATATCTTTACTATATAGATATAATTTAGGAATAATGCAAATTTTTCTAGCACTTATTCTAAAATACCAAAATTAATCTGCACTACATTGCATGTTATCATTTTGAAAGGAAAAATAATGAAAAGAAATTTAAAAAAATCTTTTCATGATCTTTCATTTTAAAAACTCTATCATCAATTTCCTTTTCAAATGTTCCAGTACTTTGAGTATTATAAGTTTTTCAGCTATTGACAAAGTTAAACATCTAGCTTAAAGAGCATTAGCCAATAAAGAAATTTCTTGTAGTCTCTCTATCATTAATGCCAAGTCATGCAAAAAAATATTTGTTGCCAAGACGAGCAGCCATTACTAAATGTTTTTTTTGTCTCAGTTGAGAAATATTAGTACAATGTTGGATAAGCACACCATACAGCAAATGCAAATCTCAAATTACAAGCAGCCCATCTTGATTCCAGAATTTCACCTGTCTTCGAAATTGGTTGCCCAATTTCTTCAGATAATTTTGAAAAGTTTCATTTGGATTTTGTTTAATTGGTGAAAGATTGTGTAGATTTTATCCATGAATATTTTGAAGTGGTACACTTGTTTTATTTCACTGACAGAATCATCCAAAACTAGTTGCAACCAATGATTTAAACCAAGGGTCGGCAACCTACGGGCTGGATCTGGTCTGCAAAGGCATTTTGACCGGCCCGCGAGCCTGATTACCAATGACTCTATTTTTAACATGAGAGACGAGGCTTTCGAATTCAACAAAGGGCCTGCTGTTATCTTCCTCTGATCCACCTTCGTCCGGCCTGCGACCCATCATTATAACACGATCCAGCCCGCCGGTTCGAATGAGTTGCCGACCCCTGATTTAAACAATGATAATGTTAGGAAAATTGTTTTTTTTTTTTTTTTTTTTTTTTATCTAGTGCCTACTCCAGAATTGTGGCCAAGCATTACATTTGCTCCATCTGAACAGAAAGCAATTATTTCTCAAATATTCATTATCAAATCCAACACAGTACAAACTGTTTAACAAGGATTTATATATTGATTCTACTCTTTGTCCTATTCAACCAAATCCCCCAAAAATTGTTGGTGACAGATTGCAATCTTCAATTTTTAAACAAATTACAAGTACAAGTTTTTTGGATATGTTTGAAGCTTCATCAATGATGACACAAATCTTTAATTTTGTTCCATAATTTTAGTGAATATTTCTTTCCTTATCTCCTTTGCAATATGATCTAATATTTTCACAGCAGATTTTTGAAAATGAAGTCCAACACCCAAGTCTAATCCATTTTTTATTTGAAGCTGAATCTCGTCTTCAACATCAGCAAATGGACAGCTTCTCTTTGCTAAACTATAGACTGTATTGAAAACTCTATTAGTGGAGTCTATATACCTGTCATTCAATTTATCCACAGCTTTTGTAATTGCATCATCAGCATGATCTTGTAGGCACTTAACACAAATACTGTGAGCCTTTGATAAGAAATGTATATTCATCCCTTTTTTTTTTTTTTTTTTTTTAGAGAAGCTTACCAAATCACTTTATTCCTTCTTAAAGATTCAATACTGCAGCAAAAACATTCCATTTATATGTGAATTCCTTTCATGTTTATGGATTCAGAATAAAATCTGATATATAGACCACACCTAATTTTTTTTTACCATGACTAATCAACCTATTGTATTTTTCCTTATTCCACCAATCTGGAAGTTTTAATGCTTCAACTGTTGTTTTCACAGCAGCAGAACCTTCATTAGTGTCATGCTCTAAAGTTGGCTGTGTTTCATCTTCATTTGCCTGAAACTTTCACTTCTGGGGGATTTTCGAAAAAGGGAAATAAATCTTTTTGTCTCTTCATTTTAGGGTCCTGATATTGAAATGAAAAAAATTACTAGTTACTGTGAGGAAGAAATTAAAATTAAGATAATAATAATTTACCTTTGACTTTTGTCCAATAGAAAAAGGTTTCATTTAAAAAAATTTTATATTAACTAAATAAATTTATATTAACTAAGTTTTAACTAAATCTCTATTTGTAAAATATGAAAACAGCAAAGTGGTTGAGCGATGAAAATATTAGTACTAATTAAAGGCCAATTATGGGCAGCAAAAACAAAATATGGTGGACAAAGTTGTACTAAAATGTTCACAAGTTACACGGTTACTATTCCAATGTCAAATCTATCATAAGTTCCTTTTTGTTATAAACGTACGAATTTATTTGTATAAAGTGTACATTGCAAAAATAATTTTTTTAAAAATTCAATGATTCATTGTGGGTCCCAAGACAATGGCCCTGATTTTGAATAACACTTGCTATCGCTAAGCAGTCGCCACCTTTTTCAAAATTTGACCCCCACTCCACCAAAAAAAAATTTGGTTATGCCCCTGCAATTGTATATTAACCTTTATTCGATCACCAGAATTTACATCCTCAATCAATTATATGACTACAATTTGTAACCAATCTAAAATTAGCAGTTTTATAAAAATTGTGCCACAATCACATAAAATATTTTTGTGAAAAATATAAAAATTTTGCTTTCCTACCAACTCAAAGTTTGTGTGTCAGACACAAAACTTAGTTGGAAGAAACAGAATCAGGAAAATACGCACAACTTAAAAAACAAGATAACCACTGCCTAAAATCTTAAAAGGAAAAACACGTTTATTTTACAATGCATAAATTTGAAAAGTACTAAACAAGGGGGTTGCACAAAAATTTCCTTTTGTGCACCTCTTTCAGCAGGATAACAATTTCTTGAGGTAACAAAAAAAAAAAAAAAAAAAATTACCCACGGAAACAAGAAAAAAATACAAATTTGGGAAAAATTAATCCCTTTAAAAAAATAGGAAAAATTTGAAGAAAGGAATAAAATGTGCCAAGGTAGAAAATTTTCAAAAAGCATCCACCTTCGTTCTTAACAGTTTACACACACAGGACGTCTCAACTCAAAGGGTTGATAAGCTGTAGAAAATGAATCAATCAACTATATATTTTTATGTTAGTCTTATAGCCATATTGCACTGAAACATCAGTTCTTATATGATCACTGAAGTTAAGCAATATTGAGCTTGGTCAGTGTGTAGATGGGTGACCACTTGAGAATACCAGGTGCTGTATGCTTGGATGTGCAGGTGGTGAAATGTGTAATGGCTCAGGATTGGAAATTGTAGAGCTGAGTTCTAATTCCTGTCAACTTTGTTATATTCACTTATACATGACTACCCTTGAGTCAGTGTGTCAAATCAACAAGGGTCTGACCATCACTGACACAGATTTTGTACAAATTTAGTATACTTTTCATGATGCTAATTGAATGGTGCCTATTTTACACCTCGAGGTCAAAGGGTTCCCGAGATATGACCCTTTGACCTTTGTCAAAAAGGTGAATTTTGGAAAATAGTCACAAAGTTTAAATATCAATATCTCAGTTGTTTTTCACCTGCAAAGTTAAATTATATACCATTTTAAAGTACTTGGTTAGATCTAAAAAGTGTGTTTTTTTTTTTTCTTTAAAGGTCAAATAAAAAAATTTGACCTTAATCTTTGACTTTTAATTTCACAAAAAGGTTATCTTGATTTTTTAAAATTTAACAAATTTGTTTGCCTTATGGCAAGATATATACCAAATTTGGTCATGAACTTTTCACTGTGGACTGAGTTACAAGGGTTTTACTAAGTTGGCCCAAATTCAAAATGGTGGATTTTGGCATTTGCCACGATATGCTAACATTTTCATATCTCCCAATATGGTCAAGTTGTATATCTTTAGAAAGTGATTAATATTCACATATGAACTATGATCATAAAATCAACAGAATTTGTGTTATTTGTGGTTAAATGTTGACCAATTCAGTGGAAAATAACTTTATTTTTGGCCTTGTTTACATTTTTATGATACAACAAATAAATTTTTCATATGAAAAAATGACATAATGAAAATAATTATTTTAAAAAAGATGTCATAAATTAATATGAAACTATGCAACAAATGCTGTTATTGGTTAACAAATTTTTGTTGACATTTGACATGGTACACTAAATGCACAAAACAAATTTTCAGTTTTTTTTATATTTAAAAATTTAGTTTTGATCTGAAAAAATGATACATTTAAATGAATTATTTTAAGATATTTTTATGTTTATACATTCTTTTTATAGATACAAATATTTATAAATGTTCTGTTTATAATGAAAGTATTAACAACATTTATGACAATTTCTGAACATTCAGGCCCCAATTATTTTTAATGCTGTTTATTAGCCACAGATTTTTTAAATAATGTATCTATAAAAGAATGTATAAACATAAAATGTCTTGAAATAATTGAATGAACTTTGTCGATTTCATAATGAAAAGACGTCATTTGTTTATATTTGGATAACATTGAGCAGATATGAATGTAAAGAGAAAATCATGGAAAATTTTAGTTTAAAAAAGTAAAATTTTGTTGCTAACTTTTGAAATGCTCCTCTGTGGGAAAATTTATCGGTAAAAAAATATTCATATATTTTACACACCATACAGGATACAGGTTCAATTCCTGTCTTGGGGACGATATTTTTTCTGAAAATTTTGAGACATTCAGGCTGGTAAATGTTATTAATACTGTTTATTATAAACAGAGCATTTACTTAAATATTTGTATCTATAAAAAAGAATCTATAAACATAAAAATGTCTTAAAATAATTTTCGGACTTTGTCCTTTTCATAATTTAAATGAATATTTAATGCAAAAAATGACTATACTTATTGTAGAATAGCCATAGTACAGATCTCAGTTTTTTTAACCCCCATGGACACTCAACAATCATTTACTTTTGCTTGGAAAGACTCTGACAGGGTTTATATAAAAAATATAAACTCAAATTCCAGGTTATTCAAGGTTTATTCTGGCCTAAACAACAGGTTTCTGTGTGCTCAGGTTATAGCATTGGTGGGACATAATCACATTCAGACACGATTTGATGCTTGCAGGAAAAGTGTTGATAGAAATTGTTTTGCAGCTGCTGTGTTGACAGGACTAAGTTGGTTTCTAGGTCAAAGCTGAAGAAGGAAGCTTTGTGTTGTGAAGAAACCCTCTTGCTGACAAGGTTTAAAGGGTTTTACTCCCACTCATCTCTTCTGGATGAAACTAAAGCAAAACTTCCATAATTCCCAAATTTTTAAAATCTTTTTTCCAAAAGATTGTATCTAACAATACTGATGGATGTTTTTTAAATCTATTTTTTTCTTCCAAATATTTCCATCTCCAAAGATACATTTAGAATGCTTTTAATACCTTCTGAAGCTGAAATAAATGAGATGAGAAAATAACATTTCTTCCCAGAACCCAAAGAATACAATAATTTCAAAACCAACTTCCCACCCAAAGATGAAATACAAAAAGCAAACATTTAAGGATAATTAGCTCACATATAAAAAAAAATTTAAATTAATGTGATAATTTAATGTTCAGTTTTAAGATTCCATATAATCAGAAGGATAAACAACTCAATCCTGAGGTAATTTCAAATTGCCACCAATATACATTCATTTTCAAAATTATCAATGACTCCAAAAGTCCATGTTTTAGATTCTGGTTGAGTGATTCATTTTCTACGGCTTATCAACCCTTTGCTGGTTATTTAAAGCCAGAAAATATTTTGAGATTATAAGAATGTTGTTTTTTTGTTTTTTTCTTTTTGAGATAATAGTTTTAGTGATACAAGTTTTAATTATTAACCTATAGCCAACAAGTACAAAAATTTAAATATCTGGGTCGAGTTCTAACAGAGGATGGAAAGTGTGACAGAGATCTGAAGATATGTTGAGATGGCCAAAGATGCATTCCAAAAGCTAAGCAGAAAATTAAGAGAGAGAAAAATTTTGTTAGAAACAAAGAAAAGTGTATTGAACTGTTATGTGATATCTCCTCCTATATGGCAGTCGATGCTGGACAATCTCATCAAAGATGAAGAGATTTGAAGCAACAGATTTGTGGTTCTAGAGAAAGATGCTGAGTATACCATGAACCAAACATGAGAGCAACAACAAGGTTTTAGAGAAAATGGAAACGAAAAGGAAATTTATACTTAACATCAGGAAGAAGCAGTGGAAATTTCTGGGACACATAATGAGAAAGGAAGGCTTGGAAAATCTGATACTCACAGAGGGACAGAGGAAAGCAGCACGTAACATGCTTCATGAGCTTTAGTAAATGGATGGTAGGGCAGGGTTTGGGAGAAATAACAAAAGGACAAAATTTATTAAGAGCTACAGAGCATGAAAAGATGTGGAGGGCCATGATTGTCTGAAAGTACACAGCACATAAAAGAATATAGCTGGTGGATTGATACAAATCAGAATTTTGATAAACGAAATTATAAGGTGGATATGAAGTGGGGGATCAATTCAATATTACACTCAATATATAAACTAATCCCTCACTTTGTGGCCACGGTAGTTTCTACACATTTATTTTACAGAGAATGTAAATAAATCTAAAAGACATGCCTGTGTAGATAATCAGTATTTCATTGATTTATTCATTGAAATAGCTTAACACTTATTTAAAGCTGGAAAATATTTTTAGGGTGTAAGAAATTTTTTTTTCTGAGATAATAATGGTTTAGTGATACAAGTCTTACTAATTAACCCATAGATGGAGGGAGAATTTCAAGGATATTTGAATGCAAATGAATATAATGAACCCAATGGGAATTGGAAATCAACTCTCCAATTAACAATTCCAAGCTATTATCCATTAAACCACCTGTACATCCTGTTATTCCCAAGTAGTCACCCATCTAGGTACTGACTAGGCTCAACATTCCTTAACTTTTGTTTTTGTATTTTTTAAGTGTTATAACATTGTTGGCTGTAATTTCCTTTTTTCAGTTCTGTGTTTTTCAAGGTCTGTTAGAAATTCTTCATGGGTATGTGTGCCTCTAGATAGGCTACCATTTTTGCTGCATGTCTTTTGAGGATGTTAAATTGGGCTTGCCAGTGTTTAGTGATGAAAACAGCTTTTGCCTTCTTTCAAGTTATTGTGACTTCCATGTCAAGAAGCTTTCCCATACTACCACTTAATAACAAAATTGATCAGTTTCATCTTCTGTTGTAAACTACGTCATTTCTGGCCAAGAACTCCTGCCAATCATGGGACATTTGCTCTCTGATTGGCAAATAATGTTCCTTTGGTTAACTTGGTTATCCTAAAAAGATCAACATTGATATGGATCATTTTCTGGTAGCCATTATGCTAAATATCTGTTCTATTCTAAGGGTTAGCATATCATTCTATACTATAGGCCTAGTCATAGTGCAACTGAGGACCAAAACTGGACGCTGATTTCAAAATGTTTGAATTTCATAGATTTGGGGAGAAAATTAAACAACATTCTTAATAAATAACATTTTCAATAATTTTGTATAAAAGTATTGCATCTATTCTATGGTTTTGATGGAACACATTTTCTTTTTTTTTTCCTTTGTTTTTTTTTTCCTAATGTTCATCCAATACAAGACCCAAGAGCCACTTAAGGTAGAGGTTTACTGTATGGTGGTGTTGTATTAGCATAAGAAAAGAAGTGAAGTTTTGGGGGCTATGCAGGAAAGAATAACAGCTACCTGTAGTCTTGAAGTTGTCAAGATTTAATTAGTGAATAACATTTCAGAGTTCAGTCAGAAACGTTAGAAGTATAGTGCAGTTGTAGACTTTATAAGGAAATGGAAACCCAGTCCTAAACAGGAAACAAGGGATAAACCTCTACTCCTGTTCAAAAACTGGGGAAGAGTAAACTAAAATTTAACATACATTTATTTTTAAATATCATTTGGAAAGAACACAAATTACTCCTAAAAATATCAAATTTTATCATCAATATATTTGTTGTTATGAATAACAATAACATAGAGAAAAATATTAAATGAACTTTATTTGACAATATGGTATTTTTAAATGAATTTTGCATCAACAAAACAGAACTGAGGAAAAAGTCTTCAGAAGAAAAGTCTATTAAACACAACTATTAAAATTAACTTTCTTGAGAGAGTCTTTGTATCAAGAAAGATTAGAAAATATCAGATTAATGAATTCTTTAAAACAAAGTAAATTAGGCATTCTTCAGCTGAAGCA